AATTATCAGATCTGATAACCAATATCAATAAAATGCATGGTTATCAGATTGCTTAATGAAGTTAATTTTTTTATATAATTTAATTTATATAAAATTTATGATATTAAATATAATTTTTATTTAATAATATTTAAAAATTATACAAAAAATAAAAATAAAAATTATTTTTAATTTAAATCATAAACCAGTATATCCTTCGGTTCGAAGAATGGGGATTCGATTAACCGTCCCTCAAAATTGTAACTTTGTTCCAAAAAAAAAAAAAAAAAAAAAAGGAGAATTCCCAACATCAACTCTAAACGGTAAACTCACACCCTGTAACACTACAGACAACACAGACCAATTCCCAAACGCCACTTGTGCTCGCGCACGAACTTACCCTCGCGGGCGACGCCCATATATAAATAAATCCCGCTTCGTCATGGCAGCGGCGCGGCGGCCTCGCTCACTTTTTCCTCTCTTAGGTCTCCGGTTGGATCTGACTTCTCTCCTTAAGAAAAGTAAGTAATAAATGGAGGCTCTGCGTCTTGCGGCAGCTCAGCCGCCTCTGCTCCGCCATCGACGGGCGCAATTTCCGGGTTCCACTGGTCGCCACGTTTCAACTATAACGCACCCTTTCACCAAGCAGTTGATCAAAGCCACCCTGTCCAGACCGCCTGCGGAGGTCTCTCCGGCCGTTAATTTCCAGGAAACGTCTTCTTCCTCATCGTCCTCGTCAATTCCAGATGAGGTTCCGTCACCTCTGCCTAAAAGGGTGTCTCCCAATTCGCTACAGTACCCGCCTGGTTATCTCGGCGCGGTGCCGCAGCGTACTGTTAGTGAAGGAAACGGCGACGTCATAAATGCGATGGGCTATTTGACGAATATGTTGTCTTCCAAGGTGTACGACGTGGCAATTGAGACTCCGTTAGAACCTGCGCCAAAATTGTCGGAGAGATTGGGAATTAATGTTTTTCTCAAAAGAGAGGATATGCAGCCCGTAAGTTTTCATTCTCTTGTTCTTTTCTCTACCGTTTTGTTTCTGTTTTTGTTTTTGTTTTTTTTTTTTTGTTTTTCTTTTCCCCCAAGTTTGTTCCTTTAACCATGCAGTTTTAGTTTATTTTAATAGTTTTGATGGAATTTTTATGGTTATTTGCCTGGTTTGAGGGTAATTTGCAGCATTTTTGCTCAAATCTGTAAACTTTAAGGTTTGCATTTGGTTTTACTTATGCAAGATAGAAAAAATTATTCATTTCTATGAAAAAAAGAAGTTAAAGTTTTTTGCTCAAATTTGTAAATTTATTGATTTGCTGCTCTCGAATTTCAGGTTTTTTCTTTCAAGCTGCGTGGAGCTTACAATATGATGGCAAAACTTACAAGTGAGCAGTTGGAAAGAGGAGTTATCTGCTCCTCAGCTGGAAATCATGCACAAGGTGTTGCATTAGCTGCCAAGAAACTTGGTTGCAGTGCTGTGATTGTTATGCCCGTTACCACCCCAGAAATCAAGGTAATTTGCGTGAGACTACACTTCTATCTTCTGTTAATTGCATCGTGACGATGTGGTTTCTTAGTTAAATTGTGAATTTGTTATTGTGCAGTGGCAATCTGTTGAGAGGTTGGGTGCAACTGTTGTTCTTATTGGAGATTCTTATGACGAGGCGCAGGCATATGCTAAAAAACGAGCCAAAGAGGATTGCCGTACATTTATACCTCCGTTTGATCACCCAGATGTGATCACAGGACAGGGGACGATTGGGATGGAAATTGTGCGCCAAACACAAG